TGTAATAGAAAACAGGTTAGAATTGGAAATCGGAGAGCCGTGTTCCAATTCCAATTGAGTTCGTTATATTCTCTTAATCCTCAATACCATTGCGAAGGATATGGATCCCCCATCTTTTTCGCGAACTATGGATTAAATAGTAAGGCTTTTATCAATAAATCTTTAATGTCTACAAGAATGTTTACAATCTAAAAATATTTGATGGATTTGAATAACATGCAAAGGGTTGATAAACCGTAAAAATACAAGTAAAACCATCAATCAGGCCATTAGATTTACTCGTCACGGGACCTTATTGTAAAATTGAATATATTTACTTAACGAATAAATCTAATCTCCACATGTAGGAACAAGGTATGTTAACTTTTAATTTCATTATATATATATATATATATATATATATATATATATATATATACGGAATACTTCTGCCATATATGGTCTGGAGCCCACGCTGTTCGCCTCAAGGTCCTCGACCAAATCCAGAGACGTATATGCAATGTGATTAGTCCGGATCTGGCATCTCGTCTAGGCACTTTCTCACAGACGTGCCGACGCTGGCCACTGTTTTTCTACAAATTATTTCACGGTAATTTCTCCGACGAGCTAGTTTCGCTGGTGCCGAAACTGCATGAATTTAAACGTGCTACTAGGTTGGTATCTCACTCCCACCCTTTCACTGTCGAAATGCTTAAATGTAGCCGTCTCTTCAACTCTAATAGCTTCATGTCTTCCGTCGGTGGAACTTCCTTTCTCATACTTGCTTAGGATCATATTCTTGTTCGAAGATCCAATCAGGAGGAAGTTCAAAATTTCAACCGAAATCATTATATTTCATTCTATAACATTTTGATATGCTGTAGCATTCATTCTGCCATCTATTACCGATATGTTGCCAGTAGCTTTTACGAAAAAAACAAAACAAACCCAAACCCTGATGCTGTCACCACCAAATTTCACTGTTGGAATTGTGTTCTTTTGTTAGAAAGCATCACCACCTTTCTTTCATTCATGATTTCTAGAATTGCCTCCAAACAACTCACTTTTGGTTTCGTCTGTCTGAAATTTTACAAAATTTTAAGCTAATTATTTAAGGCGAATGTTTTTGGCCGGCATCAACAAATATTCACCTTAAATAATTAGCTTAATTTTTTTTTAAATTTCAAAGTCTATAAACACGTTCAATGAAAGCAATAAGTTTTAAAACTTAACCCAATTATAAGCTAAAAAAAAACCTTTAAGAAGTCATCAACAAAAAAAAAATTCTAATTTAATACGACGTATTGATATACAAACAACCATTTTAGAAAAAAAAAATCTTTATGTATACAAATACACATTTAACAGCGTAACAAAAGTGACAAAAACTTTCTGTCGTTGAAATAGACCAGACGATATGCGTTGAACGGATGTCATCAATCGTTTGAAAAATGCACCCCTATCCTACCTTAACTTAACTTCTTTTCTAAAGTAACTAATATGTTGATACAATAGTTGTCAGTGAAAATGAATACTCTACCGCCACTTATTAAAATGAGTAGTTTTCTCCATGTACATAGGAATTGATATTACGAATGTATTTACTTATAAAGCTCCGTAAATTTCAAAATTAGTTATTCCAATAAGGAAACAGAACTAGGTACTTTAATTTAATTTCTAAAAATGAAATTGAAGTTTTTAGCTTCTGTTTTTGCAAAATGAGAACTTTTATGTAGCGATGGACAATCGTCTAGCATCCAAGTTTAGATTCCAAAGAAAAAAACCCGATACGAGTAAGTAAAATAACTAAGTGCCCAATACACGAAGTAGAGAACACTAGTATTACCTGACGATCCACGTAGGTGAAACCTTGGTAGGTCTATCTGGCTCTTTAGGTTTAATTTATATATATATATATATATATATATATATATATATATATATATATAGTGTAACCCGGATATAAGAGACCCGGATATAAGAGAAACCCGGATATAAGAGACTTCTTCTCCGGTTCCAACAACTCTCTTATATCCGGGTTACACTGTATATATAATCTGAATGCATATACAGTGTAACCCGGATATAAGAGACCCGGATATAAGAGAAACCCGGATATAAGAGAGATTTTCTCTGGTCCTAAATTAGAGCCTTTGTTAATGTATATAAAATAGACCAAACCCGGATATAAGAGAAACCCGGATATAAGAGACTTCTTCTCCGGTCCCGACAACTCTCTTATATCCGGGTGACACTGTAGAATTATTTCATAATATAAATATAAAAGTCCACATTGAAGTAGACAACCAATGGCTGCTGCTGTTTGTTGACCTCCATTGCTTAATCTTATAAACATTGCTGTACTGAACTAGGGTATTGGCTATTGTAATATTATCAATACATGTCCCTCGTTTGATTAAAACCCTTTCTACCCTAATCTTTGGATACAGTGTTTGCTTACACTATTATTAACCAGAAATGACGGGCTTATATATAACAGTACAGGGAACATATTAACGAATTATTTTATCGGCGTCTTACTGCTATATTTTGTTAAAGCATTTTCCATTCAGTTCTTCATTCAGTAAAATTAACTCGTTGATTGTATGAAATTGATTACCGAAATCATGCGCAGTTTGTTTTTTCTTTTGTTTTGTTTTTTTAAATAATATAACTTTCGAATAAAAAATATCTAGAAAATCGCAGTTTGTTTCTCCCTTCCTCTCACGAAAATCGTAGCAATGACAGTTATGGAAAACATAGCAAATTGAAGAATCCAAAATATTTCCATTTGCGTTTGTTAAGAGAGAGGATTGTGAATGAATGCCGATTCAACGATAAAATTAGCTAAAGTCGCCGAGATTAACATGTTCTCAAAGCCCTCGATGCCCGTTTTGTAAAGGAAGGTGAATTCAGAGGTCACCATGACCTTGTTCAAGAGCAATACAATCTCATAGGTCACCATGACGGTTTTGAACTGGGCGAAGGATTTTCCTGGCGCGAAATAAAACAGGTACAATAAAAAGTTGCGAAAAAAAAAAAAGAGAAAACTTTTCTCTCAAATTCCTTTGTTAAATTAAAAAAATAAAGTAAACCAAAAATAGAATGAGTTAAAGATTTTTCTAAATGATTATTTACTAAGGTTAAATTTCCCTGGCACAAGGCCAAATGTGACAGCGGTGTTTTTATTAAGATGAGTATATTGCGTCAATATATTCGTTTCTGAAGTGTCCTGATGCATAAAGAACCAACATTGAAATTTATGACAGTTTTTTTTTTGGGTGGGGGGAGGTCGAATCTGCAAAACAGATTTTTATAATGCGTTTTTGTCTCAAAGACAACGATATTCGAAAATCGGAATTATCCTTAAAAACGTTTCATATCAAGGAAACCTTTTTTGTCAAGATAATTATTTGAGTTAAATATCAAATGTAGATCAAAATATGGAATGGAACCCGACAGGAATTATAAGATAAAAAACAAATATAAAATGTTTATTAATCTAACATGTTTCACTTTTACGGAAGCTTCGTCAGAGCTTGAGAGAAAACAGACAAAAGCACAGTATTTTCAATTTTGTTTGGATCGATTCTCATTGGTCAGTCATGTATCACTTACATTAAAACCGTAGATAATTCTCTATATATGTAAGTTTGTAATAATTATAATATGTCTAAGCGGTCATTGTATGGTAATGTATATTCGCAATTATGTGTCTGTCTAGTAGAAGGAGTTCTAATATTTTCACTTTTATGCGGTCACTCGCGTAGTGGGGTGGTATTCTATTAATTTGGGAATGTTTTTATATACGTACTCTTTGTTTTAGATAGATATGTAATGAAATGTTTTAGGCATGTGTTTATAGTTGGTAATAACGTTATTAAGCATTGATGGTATTTTGTCTTTAAAGAATTATATTCGTTTTTAATTAAGAGTAAAATATCAGCCGTTATAGGCCAAATGATTTCCTAACACTTTATTATTTATATATAAACGCACAAAGTGAAGCGTCATAGAAAGGGAGGAGAAAAGCAAGAGCATTGAAATTGTATTGGAGGGGGGAGTAAATAAAATGTACATACTTTCATCCTGTTTCGTCCGAACTCAAACAGTAATTTTTAGTGTGTATGCCTCGTGTCATTATTTCCGATCTCTCATTCTGTAGATTTTTGGGGTCTGGAAATGTTATTATTGTTAGCTGTTCTTCCTGGCACAATTTGCTGATATCACTACGATTGCTGAAAATTTGTCTTTTTTAATATAATAATTTTTTTTAATATAATATACTATTTTATATATATATATATATATATATATATATATATATGTGTGTGTGTGTGTGTGTATGCGTGTGTGTGCGTGTTTGTATGTGAATGTTATGATATTTTGCAACCCTATGTTCCCGTGTCATAAATTGATAAAATTTGTTCAAAAAATAAAGAAAAAGGTATTATTTTATTTTTTGTTCTTGAAAAAGGACACGCTTAAATCGAAAATTCTATTTTCCATACTCAGAATAAAAGTAAATAAACGAACTATTTCATAAGCTTTATTTTTCAATTTGCTAATAGTGATATTGGATAGTACTTATGTATTTTGGAACTTATTTAACACTTAATAGTAACAACATAGCATACAAACTTACAAATAAATAAAACAAGTTCAAGAAAGTTCCATAGAGTTCTAGAAGGCTCCACGAAGTTCTAGAAGTTCCAGAAAGCTCCATAAATTAATACTATTATATACGATTTTAGAAATTTCATGTTGGGGTGACATTTTGAAAAATAAATTTAATTCTACATTATTTTTTAACAAATGTTCATCGAATTCCGTCAGTCAGTTATGTGCCATGCATGATACACGCTTAAGCGATCATGTATCTTTTGATAGATGCCTGACGAAGCAGATGTTTTTCCCGCAGTAGGTTGTCATTTCTTTCTGCGGTAGACCAGTTGCCATCCAAGGCTATACCCATTTACTTGGGGAAGAAGAAGAGGATTCATGCCTTTCCTAAAGGTATT